CTACTATAGATTAGAAAATTTTTGTACGAAAAATATCAAATAATTTTTAATTACCGATTTGTGTAGGTAGTATATATAAATGTCTTTGGAAATTTTAGTAAAACACCCGTATCGTTTGGATTTAATTTTTTACAAGACCATGGTTTATCTAATAAAAGTCCATGATTTTTTTATTTTTTTGAAAAAAGTTTTCAGTTATTATATAGAGTTTGTTGTGTGCATTTTTTTGTTATGAAAGGTGTCGCCCAATTAGAAAATATGGCATTATTTTTTTTTTCTTCAAGTAATGATTTTCTTTTTTTGAACAAAATCCTTTTTTTTGTGTGAATCATTTATATTTTTCCTTTATTTTATTTATTGTTTAACTAAATGGAAATTTTTGTTTTTTTATGTTTTGTCACTTTTTGATGAACGAATTTTATTTCCATTTTTTCCATTTGTCTTTCTTTCTTATTTTTAATTACTTACTTTTATTATTTTTGAATGATTTATGTTTTTGTATTTTTCTTGGTTTTGGTTGATGTTTTGGAAATTTTGTATTTTATATTATGATAATTTTTTTTAAGAAAAACGTTTTTTCCATTTTGTTTTTAAAGAAACGTTTTTCCCTTTTATTTTTCTGTTAATTGACACATGTCATCATCTTGTTAATAGTAGACACATGTCGTCATCTGATGAGTTATAAGATGTTTTGTTTTTCTAAAAGCAATCGTGAATTTTTTTGGAGGATTTTTTCCACTTTGTTTCACGGTTACTTTTTGGTTTTAATTTTCATATTTTTCTAGACAAAAGTGTTTAAAAGTTTGATGATTTGGTTTTGGTACAAAAATAAATCGAGAGGTTTCTTTTGAAATTATTTTTAAGGGTTTATTGTTTCTCACGGTTTCTTACTTCTACTTTCTGAAATCTAAATTTTCTGAATATTTTAATTTTTTTTTATTACAGGGGAGTTTGTTTATGAAATTTACTACTATGGGAGAGCTTATGTTTTCAAGTTATTTTAAGTCCGAAATATGGACTGTCCGAGACAAGAAAAATTATTGGTGGAATTGCAAGTTGCAACCAATGGGATGTTTTTCTCTTTTTATCGAGATCGAAGACGATCTAAAGTTTCATGCTTTCTATTTAGGATTGTTGAATCATAAGGTGGTCTATCAATGGTGGTATCTTTTAAGAGTTCACCTCACATACAAATTCTAACAGTTATTATTGTTGAACTCTATTGATTTCTAAAGAAACGACATTCCACAAGTATTAAAGTGAGATCAAACCATGAGAAATCAATCTTCAATTTAAAAAGAAAACAGTGGAGTTTAACTATTTAATTTCCATTATATTCTTTGACGATTATGTTTGTTTGTGTGTATGGACAGCAAACCATAACATATAAAACTAAAGATGATCTCAGTCGATTTATGTCTAAGAAAGATATTAAGAAGAGAATGTTTATAGCGTGGATGAAAAAAAAAATCTGAAAAGATCCGCCAACTAACTTATTTGGAATTTCCAAGAAGATTTACCTTGAACAATGACAGTAAAGTGTAAATTGAACGAAAGCGGGAGAAAATGATAAAAAGAATAGTCAATACCCATCCATCAGCAAGAGAGTTAAACTATTTAAGAATATTAATCAACAAACTAAAAGGACAAAGAAGTTTTGATGAAATTCTAATAGTTGGGGTTAAAAAATATCTAGATTCTAACAGTGAAGTGGGGAGTCCTCTTAAATAATGGAAAAGCTGTTGAAAATCACATGGTAGAGTCGTACTTAACTGAAAAGACAAAACTTTCTACTTTCAAAGGTTACATCTAAAAGAATAT